CACACACACACACACCCCTACACACCTACACCTACCTCTGTGTGGAAGAAATCGTGCTGATGTCTGAGCCTTGAACGTATCACTGATGTCATTGAAGGATGGATGTATGTCGTCCTGCTGTATGGCCGGGCACGCTCCACGGACCTCTTCTCAGTGAGGGTCAACACACTCAGATCCGGGCGAAAGTCAGCACATGTCAATGCAGTGTAACGCCGTGGAGTCGCAGTGTCTTGAAAACAGAAACATGCTGTGAGCAGGGAAACCCTTCGCAAGCTTGACCCACCTCCGAACTCAAGCTCGTCCGGCTCGCTTTCGGGCACGGCTGGACAGCAGCAGGAGACTGCTTCCCAAACTGCCTGGTGCAGGATGCTGCTTCGGCTTGAGTGGGCAACATGCAAAAAGTGGCAGCTGCCTGCAGCAGCCCGATTCGACTGAGCATGCGGGTCTCCAGCAGACCGCGGGCCTTTCGCTGCTGCCACCTCGCCTTCAACCAGGTGGAGCTGCTGCGTTGATTCCAAGTGCCTGTGCCCTTTACTACAGTATCTGACGCTTCCGAAGGAGCCTTCTTGTGCACCTGCTCGACCGCTCTCAGCACGTCCTGCTCAGTCCTGATATAGATGGCCTTGGCTTCGACATCCGAAGTTCGAGCACAGAACTGTGAGAGCAGTTCTAGGGAGCCGGGCTCCACTTGCTTCATCTGCACGAAGGTCTGACATCAGCCAGAGGCTTGCAAACCATGCGTACTGTATCTCCACCATCTCGCTTGAAGGGCTTGATCTAACCACGTCCGCTGAGCCCGGACGACTGCGAGACACTCAAGCCAAAAGCGGTCAGGCGAAGTAAGCACCAAAAAATAAGATCAGGGAATCAGGGCATCAGATCTCCAGAGGTCGTACCTTACCCTGCCAAAGGCGTGGGTTTGATTATTAGTTATAAGGGTAACTAAGCATTCCACCGAAGGATACGTCGGATGATATTTGCACGTTTTGGGTGACAAGAACGTTTGGACCAGGGCTGAGCAGGGCGACACAACCGTGCAGAAACCCAGCTAGGCGCCCAGGCCTTCGAAGCCCTCAAACCTTGAAAACTGCATCCGACTCTCCGCACCCTATCAGCTGCATAAACCCCCGTCAACCCCTTACTCCAACAAAGACCTAGGCTTCAACCCGATACCCTGAAGCCGCAGGAATGCCTGAGTATCCCTGCAATTTGGGCTCTGAATTCCAACATAAGCTTTCAAGGCCTGGCTGCCGTGCACTTTTTCACCTTTGCCCACATCCAAGAAAAGCTCAGAAACCGAGCTGTGTCTAAAGAGAGGGGCCTCGAAGTATGCGCTTCGGGCTTGGGGCTCAGGCCTGACTTCGTGAAGCCTAAACCATCCTTTACGGGTGTAGGGTTCAGGGTTAACAGAGGGCCCCCTGCGTGTTCGACTAAATGAAGAGTGACGTCGTCGGCTTCTTCGGGTACCGCTGGGTATTCAACTTCCGTTCACCGCTTAGGATCTAGCACTACGGGCTTATCTAGCATGTAGGAGCTCGCGAACTCAGTGGTATTGCTATTGAGGTCTGGAATGATATCATGGCTGCTGCGGCACCCAACGACACCAGCTGCTCGCATGACTTGCAAAATTAACTACGCTTCTGGTAGCTGCCCCCGCCAGCCGTACTACAACCGTAAGGCGGAGGTTGCACAAATTAACCGGCCGGCTCCTGCTTTGGGCAAGAGAGTCAGCATCGAATTGGTAGCGTGATTATCATGATTCTGCGGTTGGCTGCCGCAGTTTAAGAGGGCTTTGAGAAGAGAACGGCAAAGAACAAGTCGGACAACACCACGTCCGAAAGTGTGAACTCTGCCAAGAAGGATGGCCAGTCGGCTTTCAAGTACTTGTAGAGGCGATGTAGCAAAGTTGCAAGGTCCATTCCCAAAGCGTAGCGTGCCATCATAAGCAGCGGCACCAGGTAGAGGACCCAACCCCACAGGAAGTACCAGCCAAGATGTGTAAGCCGAAATTTCACGATGACTGCCTGGGCTTGCAGCTCCACGACAACGAGGCAGGCAAAGTTTTGAACAGCTTCCTACTCTACCTGCAGGTCAGTAGGGTCCCGACCTGAACAAAATCAGCTACTAAACCCGAAACCCTAAACCTAAATAACAGCCCGATCACCAATAGCATTGCTGGCATGAGGAGGAAGGCGGAGAACCACAGAATGACTTCTTGCCCGGGGCTGGCGATGAATGCAGCGGTTCCTCTACATCGAACAGTTGAGGCATCGTCGCATGAAATGGTTTAGGGTTTAAGGAATAATAATGGTGTGTTTAGGGAATAATATTGATATCACAAGGGCCCTCCTATGGACTTTGTGTTTGCTCTGCTGTGAGGGGGGGTCCTGGCAACGGTGACAGCCGCAGCATGCAACTCAAAGTCACCCACATCAAAGCCTTGACTGCATCTGCGTTGCGACTGTCCAAGGCCAAGAAGAACCCAATCCGAAAGAGCGTCCAGGAGAACGAGACTAGGAGAGGGAGGAACTCCACAGCGGCTTTCGCAAGAAGTCCCGACCCAATCGCTGTCTTCATAGAGAAGGCCACGGCACTGCAAAAGCCGCTGCCACAGCGCTGGAGCTCCCCGAAGTCCAACAAGCCAACATAGTCGGGAAGGTTAAAAACCAACAAGCCACTTGCATATGCCAGACTTCCTTCCGATTCCACGACTACTTTGCACAATCCCTGTCAGACCCGGTACAGTACCTCCCAGGGCCTGCTATGGTCAGTCTCTCCCAAGCACCAACACCCAGCCCTAAACATTTCAACCCTACACACTAAACCTCTTAGCCCTTGCAGTGACTGCGAAAGCTCATGGAATACCTTGGGCCCTGATCTCTGAAGCCAGAACTCTCTGCCCTTCCCAACTCCAAGGGGCCCGGTCCTATGAACCCGATGCTTCTGGAAAGAGCCAGGGCCAGGAACCTGAGAGCGGGGTAGGATTTCTGATGGAGAGTTTAGGGTCGTTTAGGGTTTAGGCCTTGGGGTGTAGAGTTTAGGGTTTAGGCTTTTCGGGTTGAGAGTCCAGGTTTGGTAACGATGGCCCAGTTCAACCAGCCCACGTAGAACTCGCAAACCCTCAACCCGCAACCTTAACCTCGCACGAACCATAGAGGAAATCGGGATCTCAAATCTGCCAAACCTTTGAGTTTAGGGTTTAGGTAGGGTTTAGAATCTTCAACTCTATCCTAAACCCTAAAGCACTTGCCGCCGGAGAAACTTATAGCCAGGCCGACAGGAATACCGGATTGCAAGACTGGAGCCCAGCACGTCAGCAAGGAAAGCCAAAACGAAACCTCGGGCCAGTTCCAGGTTCGAGTTTTGAGGTCTAGCGTTTCGAGCTTCTGATGTAGGGTTTAGGGATTAGGGTACAGGGTTTGGAGTTGGGGGTAGAAGGGTTGAAAGTTAGGATTTTCAGCCGCGCGAGGTGTGCATTCGGACCCCTGATTCGTTTCGGAGGAATGCTACACCGCATACTGGGTATAGGCTACGATTCATGGTTTGGTATACCCGCAAACCCTACACCCTCGCCTACAACATCAAACCCGACACTAAACCCAAACCAAACTACCCTGAACTTAACCTAAGCCCCTAAACCCTAAAACCTTGTCAACCGTCTAACTCCCCCGAAATCCACCGCTCCGCACTAAACCCGGGGTGGCCGCCAAGCGGCACGTGGCACCCAACCCACTGCAACGCGCCCGTGCCGTGCGCGCCAGGTCGTAGCGGCGCACGAGTGGCGCAAGAGTCGAATCCTAGCAGCCCGACGAAGATGGGGTTTAGGAATTTAGGGTTTGGGGTCGTTCAGGACTTGGATTTAAAGCCCCAGATCGAAGGTTTTGCGTTACACTATAAACTCAAAGTCTCTGAAAGCCGCAGGCGGCAGGCGGTTCGTTATCAGGTCTCTGTTGGGATGATATCTCGACTTGTGGGAGGACCGTGTCTGCTAAGGAAGTAACGTCAAAGCCCAAAAAATCAAAGCAAAAAAACACCAAAAGGAAAGGAACAGAGGTCCTGAAAGCAACGAACAGCATCCAAAACCACGCGCACACCCAAAAAAAGGTTTCCAAAATAAACTCACAACCCTTGACACGAAGAGCAAAACGACACCCTCAACAATCGATTGACCCGAGACACCTGCAAACGGACAGCCCCGCCCAAACATATACAAGCACATTGAAAAAGATCACGGGTTTAATGCGAAATCCGGCAAACAAACGAAAAATAGTATCTTGAGGCCAGAGTCGGGATCAGGATCGAGCACCGCATGGCGCGAACTCAACAAGGAGGCAATCAAGGCATTCATGTCGTCCCATGCGCTGAACTCGCTGTTGTGCCTTCAAAAGCACGAAGGGACTTTCGAAACAATAGTCTATGAAACCATTCCACCAACTCGGCGCCCAAAATCTTAGCCCAAAATTCCCGACAACCGTCATCCCAAAATCACCGTTATTCCTTAGCCCACAATCCCACCATAAAGCCCCAAACCTAAACCATTTCATGCACTTTCCCTCAACCATAAACCGACGAATAACAATAAGCATATAGTGTGGCGAGGTGTCTCTAATGAAATTCAAGCCATCGTGTCAGCGTTGGAAAATAGACATGGCATGCTTTGCATGATTGAAGTGTTGCGACGGTTTGTTCCGAAAGTTGTGCCGTGCATTCGCAAATCAAACGAGCTTATTGTAGTGCTGTGTGCTCAACGTCTTGAAGTATCGGAAGCTGTGCCTCTGCCATGGCGTATCAGCGTAAAGTTCCCGAGGTCAGTGGAGCATTCGCTTCGGGAGTTCAAAGGTCGTTGGGGGCCATACTGCTTCCCAGCGGGAACAGATGCTCAACAAAGCCAGTGAGTTGGGCGTCACTATCCCAAGTACGTCCGGTTCAAAGCCAACCAAGTCTGCAATGGCTGATTTTTTGTCGAAGCCCCTTGCCACAGACTTCATGACAAGCAAGTCGCCCTTGATGGTTATGAGCGGTGAAACATGCAACTGACTGTACAAGCTTACCCACGCTTGATCCACAGCGGAGCTAAAGCTACAGAGAGCCCTACGCACGCTTAGGCTGTACGTCCAAGTTCACTGCAGAAGGCGCTCGCACATATTGCCTCTGTTTGCGCGCGGAGCACTGAAAGGTCGTTTGCCCGTTCGAGTTCACCCCCCCCTTCCATAACACCCGGGCGCGAAGCGCAGTCGTGAGATAGCAAGGGAGGGGTCACCGGGCGCGAAGTGCACCACGGTGAGCTGCTCAGTGCGGTGTGAGGTCAGTCTGTGCCATCCTTGGCGTCCCACGAGGGAGGAGTCTCCAAACGTTGCCCATATAGCAGAAGCTCCGCCGAACCTCAAAGGCTGTGTGTTGCGAGGGAGCCTTCTGGCTCTCCTGCTGCTTGAAGGCCTCTGGGTTGCCAGGGAACCTGAGCAAGCAGGCGTTGAAGAGGCATATCGCGGCCTTGACGGACAGATGTCCAGCGGTCCGGAAATGATATCGGTACTCCCCCCTGTTGCACTGGTCCGTCTTCGACCCCCTGATGAAGAGGGTGACCTCGTCAGCGGAGTCGATCCCGGCCAAGAAAGATGTCACGGCCGGGCCAGGTACCCCGCATCCAGGTAGCAAGAAGAAGAAGCCCCGGTTCCAGGAGCCGAATGCTCGTAGCGGGGATGTGGTCTGGTCGCACAGCCAAGCACTGCTCCGAAAGACACAGCTCTTTCGCATAGCGTCGGAACCCGTCGGAAGTGTCGATGAACCCTTGTGAGCTCCAGGTCCCGCCTCCATCTGCGCTCATGGTTGTTCGGATCTTGGAGGTGGACGTCCCGGACGAGGTCGCGGATCCGAGAGTGCCCCCAACCAAGCTCTCTTGGAAGGTCCCACCGGCTCTTGTCTTTCCCCTTTCCTTTCGAACCCTTTTTGAGCTCTTGGTTCCCTTCTTGGAGCCCTTCCCTCCGGCTCGCCGTTCCTCTGTCGTGCGGGCAAGGATTGCACCGTTCGGGCTTGCCAGGATGAGACGGTGCTGGCGATCTCTTGTGAAAGAAGGCCCTCTGCCCGGAGCATCCGGCTGTGGCAAGACCCCATCGGCCGATTCGTCGAAAGTTCCCTTCTCTCTCCTTCCGTCTCCTCTTGAAGAGAGGGAACCGGGCGCGAGGCGTGCCCCGGCTCGAGCTCTTCAGAAAATGAGGTCCCATTTTGTGAAGAAGATGAGTTCCCCCCCATTGATCCCCTCGGGCATCGCCCGGGACGACACAAGCCAGGCGGCCAGAGACGGCGCCATCTACCGAGAAGACTCCAACAAGGAGCTGGATGAAGACGCAACGCAAGTGTCGGGACACGTAAGGAGGAGGGGAGAACGAGGGTCAGGAAAAGAACTCAAACCACAAGACCGCGACCGCAAGAAAAGTCCGCAGCGGAGAGGTGGTGGTCTGCTTCACATCCCTCCCCCCAAGCGAAAACGCGCGAAGCCGCATGCCTCCTATCTGAGGACGACCTTGGGCTCCTGCTGACCGAAGTGCGTGGAAACGTTCTTTCGCGGTGGTGCATGCACACGGAGACGGTCAGCATGTCACATCCCCGAAAAAAAAGAGTCTCTCCTCTTTGCCACTGCTGGCCACCTTGCCCTTGCCGTAGGCTGAAGCATCGTCGCAGCTCAAAACGGCCTTAAGCGATGGCTTGGATGGCCTTCGTAGCCTCGTCACAGTCGTCCTATAGGTTCGACCTCCGTGAACGCCCCGGCTCTCGTTGGACGGTCCGGGAGAATGGGGGTGGGCGCAGTGCCCAAGGTCGAAGGCTGGGCTCGTGGCTGGAAGAGCAACGAGGTGTTGAGAGATGGAAGGCCCGTCACCGGCTGAGAAGTCGAGGGTCCGGGCACGGCACGTGTCTCGCAACCGAGATAGCGCACCTCCGCCTAAGGCGTGAGGCTTCGCACTTCGTACATGTCCCGGTGCTTTTGACAAGCTCGGAAGTAGTAGCCGTCATCTTCACACGCGAAGTCCTCCTTGCAGCTATCTTTCTCGGCTGCAACACAAGGGGTCCCGTCTCCTCCTTCTGACTCGGTCTCGGAGTCCTCGTGCAAGTCCCGGGTGCGGCTTTCCTCGACCGGGGGCGAGACGCGCCTCGGGCAGAAAGCCCTCCGTCGGCAAAGGCATCTTTTGACGCCCCCGCAGCATCGAGACACACCCCGGCGCAACATTCCTGCAGGTAAGGCACTCCCGAAAGGAAGTGGCCGTCAGCGCCGGGCAAGTGTGCCCTTCCGTGCTGCCTCCTGCATGTTGACTTCAGAAGACCTGGGGACGACAGCACTCAGGGCAACGTGCAGCTCAGCACAGTCTGGAGAGGTACACGGGTCAGGGGAGCAGAGGGCTGCTCGAGTGAACAGAATTGCACCTTGCCACGTAGCCGTGACGGTCCGTCCGTCCTGTGAGGGCTCCATGCCGAAGCCGTGCGACGGCCACCCCGTCTGAAACGAGGTCCAGGGACTCGCGGTTTTGGCTTCCGCCACGAATCTTTTGTTGCACGTATTGGGCAGTCCCAGGAGTATTCGTTCCGGGGCCCTTCCATTTGGGGCGGAAGGAAAACATTCCATGGAGTCGGACCGACCACCTCGTGCCACGGCCCTTGGCCCGTCAAGTAACGGTACAAGGCATAGAAGCGTCGAAACAACGGGATAATGACGCACGAAACGGTCCAGACGGCCATCTGGAGGCAGAGCACACCAACCACAGATACGGCGAGCCAGTATGCCCATCGAGCCGCGTAGCCCACAGAAGTGCAAAGGATCCCGCAGTAGACAAACCCTGTGTCAGCGATCCAGACCAAGAAGTTTATCCAGAGCGTGATAAACCAGCGGGAGTTCCGGCTTCGCCCTCCACTCTCTGCCATTTGACTCCGCTCAGGGAGTTCTCGGGCAGGGTGGTCTCAAGGAAGTAAGAAAGCTTTCTAGCCATTCCCACAGAAGCTCCTCGGTCCGGCTTTGGGATGACTTCCTCAATTTCCGGAGTGTTATCCCATCCCCACAAGACTCACCCCCAATTGGTGGGGTCTTTTGGCGCTGTGATGTTGGCAGCCATGGCCACAGCGATCTGCGCAAGGAGCCGCATGCTGACCCTGTACAAGCCTACCCTACCCGGATTTTTGTGACAGATTTAGCAGTTTTCCGCTGATAAATTGTACAGCACCTACAATTATCCACAGCTGTATAACTTTTAAAAACGAAACGTTTAACATTGAGCCATGAACGGATTGCTATTTAGCAATCAATGAGGAGGAGGTGATACAGTTGTTGGTGTGTTTAAACATGCCACGAATTATATAACTTTACAGAAGCATGAAATTATTGCAAAAAAACGACGACAATGTGATAGATGTACATGTAAATCTCTCAGGAAACAGAAATATCAATAATAATTCATCACTGGTTAGCTGAAAGTTTACAAATAATGTAGTTCACAAATAATATCATTTTAACAAATGGTAATACAAATATTGAAAGATATAGCAATGCAACAAAAATTAATGTATCAATGGATTTGAGAACAGACCAAGAAGCCATAATACTTATGTTAGGAGCGTCAACAGACGCCGACACAAATACTTATATAGAATGTAAAAAAGACCAAACAATACAAAACTATTTTAGCCCGTTCATTTCAAAGACACATTAATATTGGATAACGACACTATAGCACTGCCCATTGATTCAAATGGTTGAGTTATGAATAAAAACAGTGGCAACACGTGGCCTACCTCAACAATTAACGACGGTCAGGGGCAATGGCGATTCTTAAATAGGAAGTTTAATTGTTTAAATGCTGGTAATGACAGTCAAGGGACTGAAATGGTTATACAAGAAACGCCCAATAATGATAACAGATCACGTATTGGCAGTACGGGTGGCAGTGCTCAAGTAAGTATTGGAGTAGCAGGACAAGTTGGAAAGGTAATAAATGTAGCACGTGAAACACAATTCGCAGATGTTATATCGCTACCGATTTAGCTGTATCGGGACAAGAATTATTAAGTTCGAAAAACCGTTTATTTCAAAGAGCAGATGCTAATAACTCACTAAAAATTATCGGAGAAAAGAAGATTAACTTTAGTCTGCAAAAAGCCAGAACAGCAGACCCTGCCACAGGTAGTATCGGAATTCAGAATAATGACAATTCATCAAGCATAACATTAAACATCGCAGATACGAATATCCAGACCCAGACGTTTAATAGCGTAGGTAATATTGTTAGTGAAGCAGATGTTATTTGTTGGGTAAATTTAAATTACACAATAGCGGAGAAATCAGAGAAGTCTTAGACGCCCAATATGAGAAACGGTGATAGTTTAGGTGAATTGAATT